TATAACGACTCCATAGCCTAAAGACTTTCGCAAGTCCTGCTTGACCTTAAGACTCCCAGGAAAAGTACTAACATTGAAAATTCACAACCGCTAGACAAATCACTGTGAAAAAGCTCTTACTTCTTACGTGTTCGTAGACGTTTCTTAGATGTTTTGGAAGGCACTCTAAAAGACAAATATCACCCACACAAACTTAAGCTGTACCCGTGTTGTGTAATTTTTTTTCTTCTCAATTTTTATTCGGTCTGTGTTCTTACTTTAGTGGGTCGTTTAAAGGCTCTATCAGGCCTGTTCATCTCCGCGAGTTTACATCGAAAACAAAACACGCACGATGGCCCACCTACAGGATACTATTCGACAAGGCCACACATACGAGCGAACATTGACTCACGCACGCGTATTCTTGTGTATGATGGAAGAAAATAAAAAAAATCTTGTACTAAATACTGTGCAGTATTTAACTGCCTAAATAATAATAAATACAGAATGTACTTTTTTAAGTTGACTCAAGACACTGAGAGGTAAATAAGTAGTTAATTATTATTCATGATAATTCATGCTAAATCATGTATTTCCTCCGCCATTTTCCGCAGTTTGGCACCTCACGTCACATCATTTTACCGAAGTCAGCCCTATAGCTTCGGCGCAGTGCCGATCACTGACGTTTGTCAACAAAATGGTGCTTGACTCTTGAGACAGGCTAAATAAAAATCTAAACCGCGTAAGATAGACGCTTGAAATTTGGCATGCAGGTACCTTAGTAAACTTAAAGCTTAGTTACAACAGGATATTGCAAAATTCCCACGGGAACGGGAGTTAGCGGGAAAAAACATTTGTATGAAAAAATCTGAACCGCGTAAGATAGATGGAGGGGGGGTAAAACGAGATCCACGCGTACGAAGTCGCGGGCGGCCGCTAGTAACACCATATTGTTAATGACATTGAGCATATTTTTTTTTAAATACCTTCGCGAAGTAAAGCTTCTTTACGTAGTACTTATTATTATTCTGTGGCTCTATTTCTTGGCTATTTATAAGGTGAGGCCTGTGCCCTCCAGTGGAACATTTAGTTAGTTTAAATAGTAGTTTCTTGTTTCTTACAGCTATACAAGATTTTTTGTCTCCTTTTTTAGCTATTCAAGAACGTCTGCGAGCGAGGCTGGTGGGGCTCCCGTCTGATGTTAGCTCACGCGGCGTGGCGCGCGCGGGACACCGACTCCGCCTTACTACAGTATTTGGCCATGGCGGAGCGAGGCTATGAGGTGGCGCAGACTAATGCCGCCTACATACTCGACTTAGGTGAGTGGCATCAAGTTCTAATAGGGCCGCAACTGCTGCAAGAGAGCTCCTTATGAGTCTCAAAAGAGTTCTCTTGTGGACTGGACTGGTACCAATACCTAATGGGGCTGCGAGGCTGCATACTCATAATAGACATGTTGACACCACAGTCAATTGACGTAATTTTTAAAACTGTCAAAACGAAACTCTCCCATAGATTTTGTATGGCACTACAAGCATGTGACGTCACTATTTTGTCAACTCAAATAAACTACTTTTTACAATTACAATGCGAACAAAAATCGTAATTTATAGGTAATCTATATATATAAAAGAAAGTCGTGTTAGTTACTTCGCTTATAACTCAAGAACGGCTAAACCGATTTAGCTGAAAATTGTCAGGGAGGTAGTTTAGAGCCAGGAGAAGGACATAGGATACTTTTTATCCCGTTCGAAATTTAAAAAAAAGTCTGCTTATTTATTGCCATTAAGGCGGAACAAAGTTCGCCGGGTCAGCTAGTTTAAAATAAATCAAGTTTTTAAGACCAGAATGAAGGGTCTTTTTAAAACAGCTGTGGTTTACAATTATTGGGGTATGGTGTCAAACTGTCTATTCTTGAGCGGTGACCATAGTCTAGTCATAGTATAGACAGGCTTCCCACTCGGACCGACGATCTGGTGAAGTAGTCTCTCGGTTGATGTTAGTGCACGCAGCGTGGCGCGCGCGGCCCTACATACTCGACTTAGGTGAGTCATACAATGTTTCTCAAAAGAGTTCTTGAGTTGACTGGACTGGAAGACACTAGGCACTAGGTAAGTGGCGCAGACAGAACCTTACAGATCACCAATCACCATCTATGGCCATACGTCGGAATCGCCGCCTTTTTTGGAAAGTTCTATCATAGAAGTCCACACCGCTGTATTGTATCTAGGCCTGAATTATTTGGCCAATTTGTGATGTCACCCTTTCTGGTCTATTGAAATTGAAAGGCTGATGATTTTAGTTAGGAAACATACATTATACAAGTATGAAGGTCAAATGGAACAGCAAGAGAGCTCTTTATCTATATTAATAATTTCGTCAAGGGGTACGGTAGACTGGATCGAAACCTTATATGAATAACAAAGCATAAAAAAATATCGATTTTGAGTCGACAACATATATCCGCAAAATTCGGATAATGAAGAATTTCGTTAAATTCCGATGGCACTGACAAACAATTTCAAACAAACCGCTGTCGCCATCTTTAGTAGTTCACTATCCACTCACTATGCGATCAGCGCCAAAACCTTACTGCTGGGTTGTCATCGATCCATAAATAAAGTGCGTTTCGCGATTTTTATGATACACTCTTTGTTAGGTGTTTTTTCTTTAAACCTGATATTGGCCGATTCAACCACAAAAAAGAATATTAGCCCTAACCATAAAGTTGAAGTTCAAATGTCAATGTCATTTAGTTTCACACAGTGATATATTCGTTTGAAATAGTTTGAATTACCTACGCACATCATGCCGAAAATCGTAAGTATTTCACTGTACTGTTTCATTGGTCATGTCTCTGTCTTCGTTTAATATTATTTGTTTGATATCTACGTCATTTTGTTAACAGCCGGATCTCCTTGCACTTGGCAAACATTGCCACAATTGTGGCATGTGGATGAAGCGAAGGGCTCTTCGTAAAGATGGTGAGTAGTATTTTAGTTTAGTATGGATGTAGGCAGGTTGTGTTTTTAAGTGAATTTTGTTCTGTTTTCTTCTTAATGTGTGGATTGTAAGACTTTCTGCATTTAAATAAAATAAGTACTTATTTACTTCCAGTGACATGCAATTTTTGTAATGGCAAAATATTTGTAAGAAACTGCAAACAAATGCAAATGTGCAGTCGATGTGTGGAATGCGACAACATTATACTCGGTAAGCGGCTTAATATTTTTTTTCTTTAACCCGACAAATTTTAATAATAATAAATGACCACATGCATAGCCTGTGTTGAGTTGTTATCAACATATACAGAAACAGACACGATTTTTGCACCGTTTTTTCTGATAACGGAATAGACTCCTTCATGCGCAAGTTCCACTTGAGCTCGGCTGGTTCTTATTATAAATAATTGTGTAATATATTTTTGCAGATAATTTCAATTATTGCGAGTGTTGTGGCTTAGAAACAATTAGGCAGTTAAGAATAAACAAGGCTCGGGCACTATCAAATCTTTTTCATAAAAAGCAAAAAGCTGCTTCTGCTGCATCACAAGATTTTTTTGATGACTTTCAGGTAAGTTAATAGTGTAGGTCACCGAGTAAAGTAAAATAAATATAGAGGTGGGAGGATATACCTACACCTACATACATTCCCAATACTTATTATTATTAGAATATTTGTCTAAAAATAAAATTTCTCTTATTAAACTCATTTAGCTCAGATGGTAAGAGCGCGACAACGGAGAAGTCGAGGATGTAGGTTCAATTCCTGCATGTGGTGTATTTTTTCATCACATCTTATTAAATTTGTTTAATAAGAGTAACACAATATAGCATTAAAAATTTAATTGAATGATCAAACGAACTTACCAAGTGAAGTTCGATCTAAATTATCCTGTTTTCGCCGAAGAGATTTAAGGTCCCTCCCAACCCGAAGATTTCTATATCTTCTTCCCTGGAGGTAAACGTCAATGTCATCTCTTCTCTAAATATAATGAGACCGCTCGGACACCGAGCCCACAGCGTGGTAGGGGTGGGGTTGCCCGCTCTTTTGTTTTTTACTACTACTACGCTGAATATTGTGTGCGGATTGGGTTGTCGTACAGGGGTACTACATGGTAAAATAAATCTCTTCGGCGAAAACAGGATAATTTAGATCGAACTTCACTTGGTAAGTTCGTTTGATCATTCAATTAACTATTCTACCCGAATAAAACCCGAATACAGTGTAAAGTCTATCTAACGACACTCCAGGGACTGAGCATTTTTCGATATTATAGAAAGTGTTCGTTAAATGGAGTGACACGGAAATTTCGACGTTATAAGGTGTTTTTCGTTAAATCGAGTAATTTATATAGAGTTTACACTGTATTTAAAGTGAAACGCAAAAACGAAACCCTCGTCACATCTTATGTTTTGTTTTATCAAAGAGCAAAATGATTTGTGAAGTGCGACGAAATCGCCTGGGTCATTATCAGCGGTTTTGGTATATCGCCGTGAGTGCGATTGCGTGAAGGGCCCTCACCTGCTCCGCAAAGAGATCCTAGTTGCTCCGTATGTTTTGTATAATTTATCAAAGAGCAAAATAATTTGTGAAGTGCGACGAAATCGTCTGTTCATTATCAGCGGTTTTATACCAGTCCCCGCGTGCGATTCCGTGAAGGGCCCTCGCCTGCTCCGCAAAGAGATCCTAGTTGCTCCGTATGTTTTGTATAATTTATCAAAGAGCAAAATGATTTGTGAAGTGCGACGAAATCGCCATCGGTCATTATCCAGCAGCTCGATACCTGTCCCCGTGAGTGTGATTCTGTGATGGGCCCTCACCTGCTCCGCAAAGAGATCCTAGTTGCTTCNGATATATTCGTTTGAAATAGTTTGAATTACCTACGCACATCATGCCGAAAATCGTAAGTATTTCACTGTACTGTTTCATTGGTCATGTCTCTGTCTTCGTTTAATATTATTTGTTTGATATCTACGTCATTTTGTTAACAGCCGGATCTCCTTGCACTTGGCAAACATTGCCACAATTGTGGCATGTGGATGAAGCGAAGGGCTCTTCGTAAAGATGGTGAGTAGTATTTTAGTTTAGTATGGATGTAGGCAGGTTGTGTTTTTAAGTGAATTTTGTTCTGTTTTCTTCTTAATGTGTGGATTGTAAGACTTTCTGCATTTAAATAAAATAAGTACTTATTTACTTCCAGTGACATGCAATTTTTGTAATGGCAAAATATTTGTAAGAAACTGCAAACAAATGCAAATGTGCAGTCGATGTGTGGAATGCGACAACATTATACTCGGTAAGCGGCTTAATATTTTTTTTCTTTAACCCGACAAATTTTAATAATAATAAATGACCACATGCATAGCCTGTGTTGAGTTGTTATCAACATATACAGAAACAGACACGATTTTTGCACCGTTTTTTCTGATAACGGAATAGACTCCTTCATGCGCAAGTTCCACTTGAGCTCGGCTGGTTCTTATTATAAATAATTGTGTAATATATTTTTGCAGATAATTTCAATTATTGCGAGTGTTGTGGCTTAGAAACAATTAGGCAGTTAAGAATAAACAAGGCTCGGGCACTATCAAATCTTTTTCATAAAAAGCAAAAAGCTGCTTCTGCTGCATCACAAGATTTTTTTGATGACTTTCAGGTAAGTTAATAGTGTAGGTCACCGAGTAAAGTAAAATAAATATAGAGGTGGGAGGATATACCTACACCTACATACATTCCCAATACTTATTATTATTAGAATATTTGTCTAAAAATAAAATTTCTCTTATTAAACTCATTTAGCTCAGATGGTAAGAGCGCGACAACGGAGAAGTCGAGGATGTAGGTTCAATTCCTGCATGTGGTGTATTTTTTCATCACATCTTATTAAATTTGTTTAATAAGAGTAACACAATATAGCATTAAAAATTTAAGTTAAATCTTTAATTTTTTTTTTATGCATAACAAGGCAGGTATTTGACCACCACAATCGCACCTGATGTTAAGTGGGATGCAGTCTAGGATGGTACATATCTGCCCTGTAAGTGCCGATTCACTCTCGCCTTGAAGAGGCCCGGATTATAGTTTTCGGGAAAGACAGCAGCAGGCAACGAATTCCAGTCCCTAGCAGTTCGCATTATAAAAGAGTCATCGAAACTATAGCTTTAAATTAGCTATTCATAAATATATTTCTCTTTTAAGGTTGATAACGAAGAGTTGACGCTAATCGAGGATTCATTGATGATTGATGATGCTTCTTCGGACAACAAGAAAAAACAGCTACTGTCAGTCAGCAGTGATGATGCTTCTTCGGACAACAAGGAAAAACAGCTGCTGTCAGTCAGCAGTGATTTTATTTCTTTAGAAGAAGAAGAGAAAGAAAACATATCAAATGGCGGGCAGACCCCCGAAAAAACGTAAATATTCAAGCAGGTTTAGTACAGAATGTCAGCCCCCCAGGACTAACTATTTATATTTAGCACTTTCAAATAACACCATTCATGTATCAGTACATTCAGTTGGTTCTATGATTTATGAATGTGTTCAATGTCAAGCACTTCATTTTTTAGGTGAAAAAATTAAAAATCATTTTAAAAATTGTTGTCATAATGGGAAGGTATACATAGACCCAGACAGAGTCTTAAAGCCAATTCCAGAAATATTATTAGATTTATACAAAGGTAATACGTCTGATGCTAATCATTTTAAGGCTAATATACGACTATATAATTCAGCATTTGCAATGGCATCCATTAATTCAAACTTGAACACACTCCCTCCAGGATTTTTCACTTATAGGGTACAAGGGCAAATTTATATAAAAACTGGATCTTTGGTTCCGTTGCAAGGTCATAAACCACAATACAACCAATTGTATATAATTGAAGATGAAGCAGCCTTAAATGAAAGATTATCCAATTCTAGAAATAACATATGTAAAAGCAATATAATGAGGTCCTTAAAAACAATGCTCAATGAATTCAATCCTTTTGTCAAAGTATACAAAAAGGTGGCTGCAATTTTAGCAGAAGAGGAATTAAAAGCAGCCTCAGAAAATCGACCCAAATATTCGGTATCAATGCAGTTTTATAAACATAAATCTCTGGATTTGCGTCGGTATAACACACCATCAAATAATGAGGTAGCGGCCATCTTTGTAGGAGAAAACGGTAAACCTCCATTAAATATAGACTTCTCTGTACAAGAATATTCTCAACATTTAACTACACTCAAATCAACCAGTCCCAATATTGACCCTTTAACCTTTCCTCTACTTTTTCCTAATGGAGAACTCGGATGGCATGAAAATCTTGGCTTATTCGGTTTAGGACAGATTCTGTTTAGGACAGATTCGGTTTACGACAGATTCTCTTTATGACAGATTCGTTTTAAGACAGAAATACAATTGAGTACATAATTCAAAAGACAGATTATTGAAAATTAAGTTTATTTAGCAACTAGTTTTAAACAAAAAAAAAGTTAAAATATTAATTGCATCTTATACCTACTTCGCACAATAGTTTGAAATATTTTTTCAAATCGGTCCAGTAGTTTCGAAGCTTATTCAATGCAAACAAACAAATATTTCCTCTTTATAATATTAGTGTAGATGTAGATTAGTATAATATAATCCTACTTCCTACTATCCTACTAATATTATAAAGGCAAAAGTTTGGATGTCTGGATGTTTGTTACTCTTTCACGCAAAAACTACTGAACGGATTTTGTTGAAACTTTACAGTATTATTGTTTATGACCCAGATTAACATATAGGCTATAATTTATGACGATATGTGACAAATTAATTTCAATAAATAAATAAGACGTCTTAAAGCGCCATCTATCGTCATTGGTTAAAATCTACAGCAAAATCAAAAATATTTTATTCAATTTAGACCACAGGTGGCTCGGCACTTATGAGCGTCAAAATATAGTAAATAAAAAAAAGCGCTGGACAAACTACTGTTTTTGACATTCGTAAATATTCATGCCGTGAAACGCTATCTATCAACATGATATCTAACGGGGGTAAAACGAGGTCTACGCGTACGAAGTCGCGGGCGGCCGCTAGTATTATACATAATTATCACATCATAATATTTCAGTCACACGTTTTAAATTAAAATAAAAAACATTTTCAAAATATTAATTTTGTGCTCTCGTCGTGTACCTACACGATGCTATTAATGGAATACTCGGCAACTCATAAGCAGTCATACGACAAAAATAAATACACAATAGGTACCAGAGTAACTAAATAGAAAGAAGTTTTCCATAATTTTATATTACATAGTAGGGGGAATTGGTTAACTCTATTCATGAGACGTTACGTTGGTTAAAACATTTTTTTCTTGACTGTACAAAATCCGTCATAAAACGAATCTGTCTTAAAGAGAATCAGTCGTAAACCTAATCTGTCCTAAACAGAATCTGTCCTTAACCGAATAAAGGAAAATCTTCAACACAGAGAAGAGAGTCGAACTGCTCGAAGCCGTCTTACAATGTTACAATTTTATCAGTATAGACTTGCTGTTCGTAAAAAATTTAGCCCATTATTTTACGCTGAAAAACTTTTTCATGAATATTGTGTCTTGGCCTATGTTAGGATTGAATCTCAAAGATTATTGTTTCTTCGAATGAATCAAAAACAGCTCAGAGCTGACAATTATAACAATTTAATGGATAGCCTGTACAATAATGATAGAGAAATGGGTCAAGGCATTGGTAAAATGATAATATTGCCATCAACTTATGTGGGAAGTCCTCGGCATATGATGCAAAATTATCAGGATTCCATGGCAATTGTATGCAAGTATGGTAAACCAGACTTATTTATAACATTTACGTGCAATCCGAATTGGCAAGAAATCTTAGATAATTTACAAGGCACTAAAAAAGAACATAGACCCGATTTAATTGCCAGAATTTTTAAACTTAAATTGGAGGAACTTTTAGATGACATTACAAGAAAACATATTTTTGGAATACCGAGTGCGTGGTTTTACACTATTGAATTTCAGAAACGTGGGCTTCCACATGCGCATATGCTTATTATTCTAAGAAATGAAGATAAACCAAGGTCATCAGTAGATTATGATAAATTTGTGTGTGCAGAAATACCTGACCCAGATAAAGACCAGGAACTTTTTCAGACTGTATCAAAAAACATGATCCATGGGCCATGTGGCCCTGGATATATGAATTCACCTTGCATGAAAAATGATGGAACTGCTTCTAAATGTTCTAAAAACTACCCAAAGACATTTTGCGAAGAAACTAAAGATGGTACCCAAAATGGAGGTTATGCTGTTATAAGAAGAAGAGACGACGGAAGAACAATAAAAAAGAAGGATTTCGAGTGTGATAACAGATGGGTGGTGCCCTACAATCCCTATCTATGTAAAAAATTTAATGCTCACATAAATGTTGAAATTTGTTCAAGTGTCAAAAGTGTGAAATATATAAATAAATATATTTATAAAGGTCATGACAGAGCAAAGATACAAATCACAGTAGCGCCACAGGAGTCCAGTGATCAATCGACATTAAACAATGAACACCATGATGAAATTAAGGCTTATATTGATACCAGGTATGTTTCGGCCCCTGAAGCAATATGGCGAATATCTGAATTTTCAATGCACAAAATGAGTCACACAATTATACAGTTAGGTGTTCATTTGGAAAACCAACAAACTGTCGTATTTACAGATCAGAATGTTCATGAAGCAGCGGCTAGATCAGCTGAAAAATCAACATTATTAGCATTTTTTGAACTAAACAGAACAGATGAAAGTGCTCGACAATATCTTTACACTGAAATTCCGACACATTTCAGATTTATCCATGGACAGTGGCAACCACGAATATCTCAGTCAGCGGCTGATAAAGTAATTGCAAGAATGTATAATTATTCCTTTTCTGATCGGGAACGATATTATCTCCGGCTATTACTTCTTCACGTCAAAGGGCCGACTTGCTTCAGAGATGTTAGAACTTATGAAAATATTATTTACACATCATTTCGAGAAGCTGCTCAAGCAAGGGGGCTGCTTTTTGACGATCAAGAATGGGAAAGATGTTTGGATGAAGCAATTGGTTTCAAACTTCCTCGGCAATTACGACAGCTGTTTGCGTTAATTTGCGTGTTCTGTGAAGTAACTGATTCTAATGCTCTTTGGGAAAAATTTGCATCACATTTTATCGAAGACTTTACAAGATCCCGCCCTGAAATATTATCCAAACAGTTGGCTTTACAAGAAATTGATGAAACATTAAAACTCCACGGAAAGAGACTAACAGATTTCGGACTTCCGGAGCCAGATATTGATGAAAAAAGTATTTTCTTATCTGATCCCGTTTATGACTGTGACATTGAAAAAGCAAATGGCTATGAAAAATACCAAAAATTGAACACCGAACAAAAATATGTGGTCGATACAATACTAAATGCTGTGAATAATCCCACAGAGAGAAAGCTGTTTTACCTGGACGGCCCAGGTGGAACTGGCAAGACTTTTTTATTTACAACTATTTTACATATTTTAAGATCTGAAAACAAATTATGCCTACCCGTAGCGTTTTCTGGTATTGCAGCAACTCTGTTAGACGGAGGTAGAACAGCTCACTCGCGATTTAAAATTCCAATTAATTCAGATGTAGATTCTACGTCTCATATGTCGTTAGGGTCACCAGCAGCTAAGTTATTGAAGGAAACTCATTTAATCATTTGGGATGAAGCACCCATGACTAAATGTCATGATATTGTTGTAGTTGATCGACTCCTTCAAGATATAATGAAAAATAAATTACCTTTTGGAGGCAAAACTTTGTTATTTGCAGGAGATTTTCGTCAGATTTTACCAGTTGTAGTTAATGGATCACGAAATGATATTATAAAAGCTTCAATTAAGCACTTTTCAATGTGGCCAAATTTTACTCAACTCCAGTTGGCTCATAATATGAGAGCTCACGATGATTTAGAGTTTGCTCAATGGGTATTAAAGGTAGGCGATGGATCAGCTAATGAAGATAGTGATGACCACCTTGAACTGCCTCGGCGATGCATTGTAGATAATTCAATTGTAGACCATATTTTTGGTGTTTCCCTTAACACAAATGATTATAAAAGTTATTCAATGAAAGCTATCCTTACTCCCAAAAACGATGATTGTTTTCAATTGAACGACCAAGTTGTCGAGAAAATTCCCGGCCTGCTTAAAATTTATGAAAGTTCTGACGCTGTGGTTGAGGACGATCAAAATGATGTTTTAAACTATCCTGTAGAATTTCTAAATTCTATAACGCCTGCAGGATTACCACTACACATTTTAAAATTAAAGGTTGGTTGTATAGTAATGCTTTTGAGAAATTTGAACCCAACTGTTGGCTTGTGCAACGGAACCCGTCTTATTGTTAGAGCGTTAGCTTCACGTGTCATTGATGCCGAAATTATTTGTGGTAGCCATGTGGGAACCAGAGTTTTCATTCCTCGAATTCGGCTCCAGCCATCTAACAGTCAACTGCCTTTTAAATTTAGTCGGCTTCAGTTTCCCATTCGCTTAGCATTCGCTATGACAATAAACAAAAGCCAGGGACAAACTTTTGACAAAATCGGTATATTTTTACCTAATCCTGTGTTCACCCATGGACAGCTCTATGTTGCCTTCTCTCGAGTACGAAGATTCGATGATGTAAAAATTCAAATTATCAATACCACTGAACAAGGCTTGAAAGGTGATAAATATATATCGAAAAATGTTATATATAAAGAAATTTTATGATAATCAATCTGTGATATATAATAGAGAATATGTCGTTATAAGTATCTTTGCCAAATTCTCGGATAAGTACTCATTGTAAAATTACAATTTAAATACTTCGTAATATTGTTTTTGATTTAGCCGAATTGAATAAAGATGCGCAATTTTTTTTTTAAATATTAATATAATAAGTAGGGGAGAGTTCGGTATATTGTACCGCCGGGTAAATTGTACCACCCTCATATCTCGTAAAGTATTTATTGAATGTCTGTAATTGCAACACTCAGCGATACACAACTAAAATCAATTAATATCGGCCATGTGGTTTTTGCCGTGACAACAAACACGTGTGTTTTATTTTGAAAAGTATTTTTTCATTGTTTTCAAGTAACTTTTGACAATACATGTTTAGTTTGTAATTTTGTTAAATTTAATCACAGGGTGTTTCTAATATATTATTTAGAAGCGTAAATTAGTGTGGATTACAATTATTTGAAACATTTTTCGGTATTTATAAGCTATATTTTTTACCG